AAAGAGAGACAGCGAGAGAGGGAACACAAGCAGGGGGAGTGGAAGAGGGAGAAACAGGCTTCCCGTGGAGCAGGGAGCCCAATGCAGGACTCGATACCAGGACCCTGGGATCATGACCTTAGCCAAAGGCAGACGCTTAATGACTGAGCCACCCAGGTGCCCCATGAATTTTAATTCTTAATAGCCTCATTTTTCTTGTTTTCTAAATATTCTTATTGTAGTTTGGATTCCTTCATTGACAAAATAGTTGTTCAAGAGAAGATGTATATGCATTTAACTTCATGATCAGGTTTTTAGTTAGGTTTGGATTTGAGGTACCCTCTGTCCTTTCCAGGTTTCTGGTGAGTAGCATGTGTACCAAAGGACTGAGCCAATTGGCGTTAAAGTTCAGCTTTGAATGGGAGTGACTAGATTTGAAAACAAAGCTTGACTGTAAGGTCAAACCGATTTGCACATACAGGACAGGTAGAGAAAGTGGAAAGAGACCTGTCTGGGCTTCTGGAAGGCCTCACCTGCTCTGTTAATTGTGCAGCTGGAAGCTCAGTTCGAGCCTTCCTCACCTGAGGGCAGATGTCCCAGAGAGAAGAGCTGGACCCGATCTGGGATTTTAATGTTAAAAGGCGAGCCCAGTGGATTTGGGGCTCTCCCCACTTGAGTTCAGCGTTTCTCCTCCTTGGAAATGAGCAATGGGTTTGTGGGGCCAGGAAGAGAAAGGCACCTCACTTAGTTGAGGTTAATGGCATTGTGGTTACAATCGTGACCTTTCCTTCTTGAGATTTAAGATTTCCTTTGTTGTCTGAGGTACTGCTAATTTTTATAAATGTTTAGTGAGTACTGGAAACTATGGGATACTCTTCTCTCCCTCGCTATTGCTCCTTTTTTTTTTTTTTTTGGTAATACATTCCTCATATTAGTCTTGTAAAGTACATGATTTCATTCCCTTATAGTCTCAATTTCTAGACATGTTTCCTGAAGCAGCTGCATCTAATTTTCTGCTTGGCACGACCTGCCTTCAGTTTTCTGTGCGACTGTCCAGCCCTCCTGGGGTGGCCTCCTGCACTGGGTTCTGCATCCTCAGGGAGGAGCTTTGCCACCCCTTGGCTTCTTTTTTATAAGCATATCCCTGCACTTGGAGAGTCATTTCTGAATTCTGCTACACTCCCAGCAGTGACAGGGGACCCACGTAAGCTTCTCCCTCTGGCCTCCAGGAAGCGCTCAGCGCTTTGCTGGGCTGGGACTATGGTTTTCTGCCAGGCCTTGACACCACCCATTTTCTTCAGAAGGCCCTGAAAGTTGCTTTAACCAGGTCATTCATTTATATATATTTATATATATATAAATTTTTATATATGTATTGAATTTATATATACTTATATTCACTTATATATATTTACACACACACACACACGCATGTGTTCAAATTCTGTGGGATGTGGATAGCGCCATCCCTAGTTTTTGTTGTTTATTTGGGAAGAGTGGAGGTTGATAGCCGTACCCAAGTTGGTTTCTGGTCCTCTTGACGCCTGCGTGCCCCACTCTCCCGCACCCCTGCCCCATCCTGGAAGCAGTTTCCCCTTTATTTGTTCTCCTGCAGTACTAACCTTTATCCCTGATCCATTTGTTTAATCTTACATTAATTGTTGTGTTTTGTATATATAGCTAGTTAATGAGTAACCGTATGCTTCATTTTTCTCATATATGTATGCATTGTACTTATGAAAGGACTTGAGGTATTTGTGGATTAAAATACAGGGCATGTGAGGACAACATGAAGAAATTCTTTCTGAAGACAGAGTAAAGGAATCTCCAGCTTCCCACCGGAGTGACCGCCTGCCAGGTGGCTTTTCGTCTTCCTTTTCTTTCATGAGGATGGGAACATTTCAGACCAGAGTTTTGTGTGCACAGTATGGCATTGTTAACTGCAGGCACAATGCTGTACAGTGGATCTCTAGAACTCACTCCTTGTGCATAATTGAAACATTGCTTTGCCGGTGGAGCTTTCTGATATTCAGGGCAAAATGAGATGTGAGTAGGGTTTCTTAGTTTTGAGCAGCTCTTTGATGTGTTCAGATCCATCCATAGTGATAAAATCTAAACTGTTGATCTTTAGAGGCTGAGCCACGGGCATCATTGATGGGCTTCCAGATTCCAGTCACTTTAACAACACTCTGGAGTGTGACCGTGCACACTGAAGCTTCTGGAGGAACAAAGAGAATTTTAATTCTCCTCACCCTGCTTCTTTATCATCATGGAAGTCCTCCAATTTTTTCTCTATCCTTACTCCTTTTCTCCCTTTCCCCCTGATTTGTTCTAATGTTGAGACCAAGAAGTCAGACTATTTAATCCATAAGTGACCAAGAAGGTATTTTCCTGATTAAAATACCAGAAGTCATACTGACAGTGCATGGAACCCTAAATTCCACGAAGCCCCGTTACAGAAAATTTGCCACCTCCATCATGAAAAGTATAAAGATGTGCATGAAGAAAGAACTTGAGACTTTGAGGAATTTGAACACTGTTTGGTTTTACATGTAGATATTTGACTTGGAAGGGTATAGTCTTTAAATACTGCTCTATTTAGAGTAATTAATTGCCTAACATCTGTGGGTTGGGGGGTGACAAAATTGGTCACCTTGAATTGTTTCATTATTTAGTGGCATAATTATGCCTGGCATCAGAGTTTTATGAACATTTGAAATGAGAAAAGCCGAAGTGTCTGCTCCAGCGTGAGCTGGATTCTGCTGGCACCGCTCTGACTCTCACGAGACATCTAACAGAAGCCGTGTGAGATGGGGAAGCAGTTCAATAATACACTTCCACCTTTCCACAGAAAACTAACTGGGCCACCGCTGTCCCTTGGACCCTCCGTGGTCCTACTAGACCAGGATAAGGCCTAGATCAGCCTCAGACAGACCCCAACCAGAAGGACAAAGGAAACCAAGCCTGCAGGGTGCCCTCCTCAGAGGCCCCTCCAGCCGAGACCCTCAGCATGCTGGGATCCCAGGGTGGGAGCCCTAAGTAGCTAGGATGTTCTGATGAGGCCCTTCTGGGAAATAGCCATCAAATCTACGCACTAACATGCACTGTGCCCATTTTTCTCTGTCCCAATTCCGTTACAGTGGTCTTTCCTGCTCCTTTTAGAGACCAGCCGTTTCGCTTGGCCTCGGCTCTCACCGGACCACTGGCCCACCTTCCTGACCTCCACTTTTGCTCCCCTGGTCTACACTTCATCCAAAGCAAGGCTAGTTTTTTAAAAAAGATAAACCAGATATAGAACTATCTCCTTTCCCAATCATAGCTTGTTTTCACCTAGAATGAAGATTCAAACTTCCTAACTGCTCACCAGGTGCTACATAATCAGCTCCTGCCTGGGTCTTGGCTCCCTGTCACTCATTCCCAGCCTCAGTGCCTAACCCCCCCACCCCTTCACGCCTGTCAAGCTCCCACCCCCAGGGCCCTGCACTTGCTCTTCCTCGGTCTGGAATGCTTCTCCTGTCTGCATAGCTGCTCCCTCTCCCCTAGCAGACCTTCATTCAGTACCTCCTCAGATGGGCCTTCCTGGCCACCCTCCCTGAAACTGTCCTTCCCAGTGATTCCCAGGATGTGTGCTGAATGACTGGCTTTTAAATTTCCAAACCGATATGGATTGATATTTTTGTAAAATGTAACAAACCTGTCACAGTGATGTCCAGTTGCTTATAGCGCTCCCTCTCAGCCTCTGTACTTGCCTCATCCGGGCCGGGCAGCAAGCATTTCAGGGCCAGCTCAGGTTGCAGATGCGCATGATTACCCTGCCTGTGTGTCCTTGGGACCAACTGTTCTCTGTAACCCTCTGGCTCATGTTTTGTGTCCCCCAGTAAAATGTTCGCTCCACAATGGTAGGGAGCTGGTCCTAGACTTGTCACCCCTCTATCCACAATGCCAGGATCTGTGCTGACGCACACGAGGTTCTCAGTAAGTCCTTGCTGAAGCTCCAGTGCCCTGATGTGCCTGTCCAGCCCTGCCTGGCCCCGGTGGGGGTAAATCATGGGAGGCCCAGCTGCCCTTCTCCCCGATTGTCTGCTTTTGCTTAGCTCACATCCAGAATCAGGCCCAGAGTCTGCCTCCGTCACTGCTACCATGACTGGAATAGAATACGGTTGACCCTTGAACGATGTAGGAGATGGAGGGGCCCACCCCCACGAGGTCGAAAATTCCCTTACAATGTTTGACTCCCCCAAACTTAACTACTGATACCCCACTGTTGGCTGGAAGCCTTATCGATAGTGTAAATGGTTGATTAACATGTATTTGTATGTTATATGTATTATAGACCGTATTCTTACAGTCAAGTGAGCTAGAGAAAAGAAAAAAGTTACTAAGAAAATCATGAGGAAGAGAAAATACATTTACAGGACTGTAAAAAAAAAAATGCACATATAAGTGGACCTGCATGGTTCAAACCTGTGTTGTTCAAGGGTCAACCGTAATCCCCCTTCAGTGCTATGGCTAAGTCACTGTGTGACCTTGCTCAGCTGACTTCAGTACTGCAGGCCTCCATTCCCATGTCTGGGAAGTAGACATGTCATTTCCTTCCATCATGAAGACAGGTAATGCTCTCGCACATGCTTGGGGATCTCCACAAGGCTGCCCTTGAGTGTGGCTTCACAGCTAGACAGGGATACTGTAACCAAAACAGAAGCCCATTTCCTCAGTGACACTCTTTTCAATGAGGCACAGTGGAATCAGCAAACTTTTTCTATAAAGGACCATGTATTAAATATTTTAGATGTTGTGAGCCATGTAGTTATCTGTTAGGTTTTTGTTTTTGTTTTCCGACTCTAAAAATATAAAAACTACTATTAGCTCATGTGTCATAGGAGAGCAGGCCTGGGTGAAGTTTGCCAATCCCTAGCGATAGGCAGTTGGAAGTTTATTTCTTTGAGACTCGATACTTTTTATTTTCTGTTTGGATGAAATAAGAAATGTGACCTGTGACAGTTTTATTTTTCTTGAATCGATCCTCTTGCCAAAAAGGTTGTTCATCATTTTAGTCATACTTCCCACTCTTTCTCTCTTGTTTTCAAGCACGTTTTAAATATTAATGCATTTTAGAACAGCTTTCAGCACAGAATCATGGTTCTCCAGAACAGAGTTGGTGGTTTGTGTAGGAGATCCCATTTGAAGACCATTTTGAGTTAGGATGGGCCCTTGATGATCCATCCAAAAGTAGAGTCTGATAATAATGCATTTTTGTCTGTGACTCAAAATATATTATGTTCTTAATTTCTTGAAGTTTTCTTCTGAGGACTTAACTTGTTTACTTGTTTGTAGACATGGGGTTAAACCTTCAATTGAATTTAGAGCTGATATATCTATTCTTGTTTCATTTCTTACTAATAGCCAGACATGAATTATTCTGAGTCCAAGCTTTTATAGTACTAAGAACTTTCTAACTGCTTAGTTACAAATAGGGCATGCTTGGTTACGGTTGATCTGTTGTAAAACCTGCCCCTTGCCCTGCCTTTGCTGCCAGAGTCCCCTGACTTCCTGCAGACCATCTCTTGCCCTTCTTCCAAGCCATTGTTGTAGATATTCTCATTTAATGGCACCCATTCTCCAATTTTTAAAAAAGATTTTATTTATTTATTTGACAGAAAGAGCACAAGCAGGGGGAGTGGCAGACAGAGGGAGAGGGATCAGCAGGCTTCCCGCTGAGCAGGCAGCCCGACGTGGGACTTGATCCCAAGACTCTGGGATCAAGACCCTAGCCGAAGGCAGACGCTTATCTGACTGAGCCACCCAGGCGCTGCCCGCCCCCACCCCCCGCCATTCTCCAATTTTTAAAAAATATTCTTTAGTTTCAAATTTTAGCAAGGTTCTCTAAAGTTGACAAAGTAGTGGGTCTTAGAAAGATGGTATGTCAAAAACAAAAGTGGTAAAATAGCACCTAGGTATTTATTTATTTAACTCTGACGGATTGGGGATTACAGGCTGCTGACTAAGAAGAGTGAAACCTTGGCACAATGTGAAGGTAGTTCACTGACTGCGAGATCTTAGCACAGTAGAGTGTGTTTGTTAAGAGGATCAATTCAAGAGCCAACCCTGCGACTTCCTAGCTATATGATGTTGGGCAGCTTTTCATCTACTCTGAGACTCAGTTTTCCCATCTGTAACACTGGACAAATCAAAGAACCTTTGATTATCCGTAAGATTATTGTGAGGTCTAGATGAGTTAATAGTACATAGTTAGTGCCATGTAAGGACTAGTTAGTGTTTATTGAGTGAAAAATTTGCTTTCATGGATACATATCAGTGGATAACACGCCACATGGAAAATTTTATATCTGACTTGCTTTGTCCATTTAAATTTTCCCTATAGGCTTTCGTCGAGGCCCAGAACAAGATTACTGTGCCATTCCTTGAGCAATGTCCTATCAGAGGTTTATACAAAGAGAGAATGACTGAACTGTATGACTATCCCAAGTATAGTTGCCACTTCAAGAAAGGAAAACGGTATGTGAGGTTGCTTTTATTTAATTTTCTTTTTACTTTTCTAATCGAATGCTTTCTTAAATCTTAAAATACAAATTCTAAATAACTTATCATTTTATAAAATTAATCCATTATGAAATCAGTTCATTTCTGTGCTTGAGTATGAGAATAATGTTTTTTGGTCTGTTGTCCATATTCTTAAATCATGATTAAGAAATTTAGTAGAGATATTTCCTAGGAAAGCAAATCTAGATTATAGGAAATTATTGTTGTTTTATGGCTAATAATTGGGCTAGGATGATTTGTAGACAGCAGTGGAGATTTGTTTGCCTCTAAAATTCTCTTTGGCTTACCCGACTAGAAAAGCTTTTATTATATGGATTTCTTTCATCCAAGAATGGAAGTGGGCCAGGAGGTAGCACCTATTAATTCACATCTCTTGTTCCTCTCCCTTTCACACCAAGGTAAACTTACTCTCTTATTCTTTTTTTAAGTCTCTGTGGAACCACCATCACAAATTTACTTGAGAATTTCTTAGACCCTCCCCTTCTTCTCTCTCTCTCTCTCTCTCTCTCTCACACACACACACACACAGATCAGCAAAGTACAATCTACATGCCTAACCCTTCCTGCCGCTTGTTTTTGTAAATAAAATGGAAATGGCACACAGACCTGCCCATTCATTTATGTATCAGCCGTAGCTGCTTTTGTACAACTATAGAATTGAGTAATAGCAACAGAGACTCTGTGGTCCACAAAGCCTAAAACATTTGCAGTCTTGCCCAATACAGAACAGGTTTGCTGACTCTGGCCTAGCAGCCTATCTAGGGAAGGATCCAGCATTTCATTTTAGAAGATCTGCTTTCTTCTCCATTGAAAAGAAAAAGTTACTGCTTTATTTGATTATCCATTTTAGTTCTAACAAATGAAGCAGTCTTTGTCTCTATTTGGCTAATATGCAGGATTATAATAAATTATTCCAATACCGAAAACAATTCAGATACCAAACTCTAATTACAGGGAGGTGGTGGAACCTTCCACCCTAGTCCCCATGTCCCTGGCATGGCCTGTTTGCAAATGAACATTTATTTGTTGTTTTTCTTTTTCTTTTTGCTTTGATTGTACCCCACAAATGGAGAACTCCATGGCTAAATAAAGACCATCTCTGTCCCCTAGGTATTTCTATTTTTACAATACGGGTTTGCAGAATCAACGAGTATTATATGTACAGGATTCCTTAGAAGGTGAAGCCAGAGTGTTCCTCGACCCCAACATACTGTCTGATGATGGCACGGTGGCGCTCCGAGGTGAGTGCTCCCCGGCTGAGCCCACAGGAGTCCCGGGGCCCTCACTTTCGGCTCTGACATTGATGTAGTCCCTTCACCTCTGAAATACCAGATAGGATGGACCATATTGTAGAACAGATGCACATGCTCTGTTCAGGAAAGCTCATTTTTGCATAGTATCTCTAGAATACGTGAGTAGTCACATGTTCTGATAACATGAAGCAGAACGGGAGAATAATTCACACTGGACCCAAATTAGCTTCTAGGGCTTCTGAGATATTTAAGTATCATCATCATTGCTTCTAACATCCCTGAGCCCTCTCTGTGTTTAGGAAAAAAAATCTTCTATAAGTAATTTAAGCTCTATGAAGAATGTTCCAGCTATGAATGTACAAGAGGAAAGAACATTTACAAGATCTCTTTCCTTGGTGACAAGGAAGTGATCAGAGTTTTAAAATTCAGTTGCATTTTAGAATTGAAAGTAGAAAACCACAGTCTTGTAGAAATTAGACAGCTTGATACCCTGTTCCCTGAAGACGGCAAGTTTAAAATCTGAATGAGTATGGCCTGTAGTTGCCATGTATCTCCTAAATAACTCCAACCCGAGATAACCTCTTCCACAGGCCATGAAGATTACCCTAGGTTTGTGCCATTAGAGCTAGTTAAGGAAGGATTTGGCTATTCGCTGGTTCTATGGTTTAATAATTGAATACTCTGAGAATCATCTCTTGTTAGGATCCTAGATTTTAGTGAAGTTGGCTCAGCATTTCCCCCGGAGCATCTTCGGTTTTGTAGAGAAAGCACAGGGGAAGGCTCAGCCCTGTGGAGTTGAGTGATTGGAACACTCTAGTCCTGTAATTGATTAGGTGGGAATGCAAGGACCCTATTCCCACAGCCCTGTGTGAAGACCCATTTATAAAGCCACTGAGTCATTTAGTGGTTCTTCCCCTCTTCTTCCCAAGTGGGCTGTGTATGTAAATAGTGATCCTTCATCTAATTCGTGTTGAAAGTAATCAGTATTGAAAATAAGATGTCAACCAGTTAACCAGGGATATTCTTCCATGAATTTGAGTTTGTGGTTGTAAATGAATGTAATACACTGGTTCTGTGCAGTAATATACCCTGTGTGGATATCGTTTAAACAATAAACCTTTGTTAATATTAAAGTTTTTGTAACTCATCCAGAAGAACTTCATTATAAGAGGGTCTCTGAAAGTTCATTTCAGTAACTTTTTAACGGAATGCCTGCCACGTACGGGTCCTGATAGCTGAAAAGGAAAATCAGACATGGGACCTGGCCTGTCTTCAAGTTTTCTGAAAATGATATAGGGAAGTTACAGTACGGGTAAATATACAGATTATTTTGATAGTATATGATTTTTTTTATACATTTCAAATCAACATTTTTATTTAAATTTTTCCTGAAAATTTTCTAATTATATATAATTTATGTAGAATGAGAAGTATTTTCTCCACATTGCCTTCTAGATTCTTCTCTGTATTTATATACAGATGAGCCTCAATACTTCACAGCAATTATAAAGGATTAATAAGTAGTTCTTGTGAAATCTTAATTACCACTAACAAATTCCATGTAAAACAGTAGGAAACCTCTGAAAATAGTTGGGTTTCTGAGAATAATTTTCAACCCCTGGTGAAGTTTAACAGACATTATAAGAGGAAATCTCCAGTGTCTGTGTGTGGTACCAGATGCTATCTATATATATTTTATATTTATAAGAGCCAATATAAACATAGAAAATTTCTCAACACACATTCCACAGTGATTAGAACATTCTGTCATGGACTTAAAGAATTAGACACACATAACAGTTCGTAGATGGTGTTGCTTTTCTTTCTTTTTCATGGTTGCTTTTGGAATATGCTCTGTGTGAGCCTTCATTGCAACCCTCGGGCTTACCTGGGCTTGTGCTGGTCAGGTGGTGTGGACGACGTTAATTCTTGAGTGCCAGCAATGCTCAGAAAATGAGGTTGTAAAGAGTGATTCCAAATAGTTTGGAATCCATCCCAAAAATTACTTAATGGCTTCCATTTAGTTCTGTTACATGGTATGTGTCATAATCCAGTCATTACTTGGAAAGCGGTTTCCTTATTCTTTTTCCCCTCCTCTTTAGAGTATAAATAAAATATGCTGAAATCTCAGATGAGCTCTGCTTTTAACTGAACTGCTCATTGAATTATAGGAATATAAACAGTGGAAGCATCTTAGAGGTCATATAATCTAGTACGTTTTTTACAGATGAAGAACCCAAGACCTGGAGAGGCGAGGACGCTTGTCCGGGCTCATGAGGTGAACTCCCGTGAGGCCTGGGCTCAGCCCCCAGAAGTCCTCACGACAGGCTCCCTGATCCTGCTGTTGCACGTGTGGCAGAGAGCGTGTCAGGCAGCACGGAGGGCAGCGGGCAAGGCTAGGGGTCGTGTCCCCATGTGCACTGTGTGAGAATTTCTCCTGTGTCCCATAGGCTATGCCTTCAGTGAAGACGGGGAGTATTTCGCCTATGGTCTGAGTGCCAGTGGCTCAGACTGGGTGACGATCAAGTTCATGAAGGTTGATGGTGCCAGAGAGCTTCCAGATGTGCTCGAGAGAGTCAAGTTCAGCTGTATGGCATGGACCCATGACGGGAAAGGGATGTTCTATAACTCCTATCCCCAACAGGATGGAAAAAGTGACGGTAAGTGAAGATGGCAGCTGAAGCATCTTTCTCATGGACTAGAAGTGTGACTTCACATGACTTGAAAAGCTAAACCCTACGTAGAAGTTATTTGGTGTAGAACCAGGTTTCCTCAAAGGGCGCTGTATCCGTTAGCATTGTTGTATGACAGATCACCCCAAAACTTAGTGTTTTAGAATAATAACCGTATTTCTTTTGCTTGGGAGTCTGTGGGTTGGCCAGGCAGTTCTTCTAGATTAGCTGCGTTCTGTCATGTGTCTGTGTTCAGCTGTGGGTCAGTTGGCCGATCTTGGCTTGGCTTTGTCAGGGGCTTTGACTCTGATCCTGTTGGTTTCTCATCCTCCAGCAGGCTAGCCCACGTCAGGGGCTTTGACTCTGATCCTGTTGGTTTCTCAT